CCTCGGCGAAAGCGGGGCCGGCACCGCGAGGAACGCGAGTAAGAGCTCCTTCCTCAAAGAGAGCCCTCTGAGAACGAAGCAAGGCAGTAACAACTGTGCTTCGCTCCCAAGCAAACCACGCACAGGCTGTGTGTGTCCCCACTCGTGATATACCGTGGGCAGGGAGGAACACACAACCTGTAACGTGGCTTGCACTCGCTCTTCGCATGCTTTGTCTTAGCGTGAGCCTTAGACACAGCTGCTTGTAGAGTTTTCTCTCAAAATAGACAGACAACAATAAATATGACTGACACACACAGAGCGCTTCGCTGAATGACAGAAGCTGACGCCGGCTCCGCCGCATGTGCTTTTATAGCTTCCTGGTCATGACGTCATCCGCCGTGACGTCCCGTTCAGCTATTGGACTGATTTCACATGTGATTCAGAGCGTGGGTCGCAGAAGGCGTTCCCCTAGTGTTTTTTGACACAGCTCGAGTTCCTGAAGAGGAACTTTAAAGATGATTTTAAAAAACTTTAAACATGACTTGAAATAATTTTGACCTGAAATTATTAATATTTATATAGAATTTGCCTGCTTGATTCACACGTTTTTGTGAAGTTTTCTTTAGACAGTTTTTGAAAGAATAATCCCACAGCAGAGGATGCGGTTTTTTGTTTTGTCGAGGATCTGCTAAAGTGGAGCATCTGCAGCCTTTGTGTTTCTGTTGAAAGACTCCTGTCCTTTTAAATTCCTCGCCCTCTTTCTTTTTACACCGAACGTTTTTAAACAGATCAGTCTGTTTGATCTAAGAAGGCATTTGTGCATCGTTTAATTACATTAAAGTATATTCCTTTCATTACCAGATGTGAAATGAAATAATGACCATTGTGTTTTTTGATGTTGCCCAGTAAACCAGTTTTTCTGGTCACTATGGTTTTTCATAGAAATGTGATCTGATCTGAAGAATTAAAAAGATTTTACATTCAGAAAATATATTCAATACTTCATTTAGATTATTATTTTTTTAAACAGCAAAAATACATATAAAACTAAACTAAAATAACTTGTTTGTGATGCTGTGTGTAAAGATGCATGATGTGTCTATATGCTGTGTCTAGTGCTTGTGTATGCATGAAGGATGTGAATTTGTCTAATTTATTAAGTATATATGTATTTGCAGTCCTTATAGTTTTCTGAAAATAAAGATGAGCGACGCTGCTTCTAAAATGAGTCTCAATACAGAGGAGGGATGTTCTCAGTCCCGGAGATCTCCAGATCCCAGCTGTGTGTCTGTGAAGAGTGACAGATCCATAGGTTTACCCTTTAATCTCAGTCATGAACCAGTGACCACTGATCCTACGTGAGTATAAAGTTATTAGAGTAAAGTTATTTAACTGTTCACACATTATTTCATATGTGAATATACATCACAAATTATTTGTGCACTTATTTCCCACCACAATTTCTGAGCACAAAAAATAGACTTCACACAAGGTCCATAAAGGGTTTGAATTTAATTTGGTCTAGAATACCTGGAAAATCAGCTTGTTTTGTTGAAAGCTGCTTGAAATGAAAAGAAATATATGTATGCAGTTCGCACATATGCAAAACAAATATATATTTTGTAAAGAGTGTTAAAAGTCCTTAATATTTGCAGTATTCCCCGCATGCTGTGCACAACTGCACTAAACTGGAAGGGAACATTTGATGAATATGCAAAGCAGCCAGCCACACTTGTTTGTTTTAAATGGGTTGAAAAGGATGGAGGTGCAGCACTTTCTTCTTAACAATGAAAACAAAGATAATCCCAAGTGAAAAATGCATAACAGAAATTAAACGCAAGACAACTAATTAAAACTGAGGCCAAGATATACACAGAATAATGAGGGGTAAATCAAGGGACAAGTGGGACTAATTAATTAACTCATTGGTAACTGGGGAAACAAGCTAGGAACAGGAAAGTAATCAGGGGCTAGAGACAAATTAAAAGTCCATAAAAATAAAACCAGAAACTGAACAGAAATGTGACACCAGCAACTAAAACTTGGAATACACTTAACGACTTTTAAAACATTAGGCATCAGGCTCAGACTTTAGGCAACGAGTGTTGACTATTGACTGCAAAATGGGGCAAAAATCTTTGCAAAAGCCATGTACTGTATTCCAGTCTTAAAGGGGTCATATGATGTGATTTCAATTGTCCCTTTCTCTTTGGAGTGTTACAAGCTCTTGGTGCATAAAGAAGATCTGTAAAGTTGCACAGACTAAAGTCTCAAATCCAAAGAGATTCACCGGCCGTTCCTCATTCTAGCCCGCCGTGTGTGACGCTGTGTGTTTCGTTGTGAAAGCGAAACTACTTTGTTTGGTCTTCCAAAAGAGGACCTGTTCAGAAACACTGTTCCAGAACACTTCAACCCAAATATTCAGATGTGTGCAGCGCATTTTGCGGAGGATGAGGACTGTTTCCTGGGAGAGTATACTACAATGCTGGTGTCTGTTTCTATAAAGTTGGGCAGTTCCAACTTTGCAAGGACAGTCTGGCACTTCTGACTCACAGCCTGTAAGTAAGTTTTTTTATATTTAAAGAATTTGCCACTGATGGTTCAAACGTGAGTTTTGAGCAGTGTAGAGTAGCGCTTGTTGTTTGTCGTTTCTCCGATCACAAATGCAGACATGGTTTTATGTTTACATGGCGCGATACACAACGCAACGCATCGCGTAAAAAGACAGTATAAGTCATTATAATCTGTAATTATGTCTCACTGGATGCAACAAGTGCCTCGTTTATAATGGGCTTTAATGTTTTTGTCTCGTCGCTCCGGCCGAACAGGGCATCACAGTATGTTAAGGGGCGAAACATTTCCATCACACGCTTGAGGTATACAGCCAATCACAATGCACTGGATAGCTGGCCAATCAGAGCACACCTCGCTTTTCAGACCGGTGAGATCGACGTGTTTCAACCTTAAACCGCATAAACATATTGTATTACACCAAATACACAACATAATGTTCTTTTTAGCAACATCATATGACCCCTTTAAGTATGTGCTGTGAATTCTCATTTGCATTGCAACATACAATGTACTGCAACCAGTGTCTAAAACAAGGCAAATTAATGTCTCTAATGGAAGACTTCACAACACAGTAATTTCTGAAAAGTAGGTATTTCAGCATTTCAGCAAACTATTGTATCAGTAGAAGGCTATTATTACAGGAACTGGGTTTTTAAGTGTAGGGTTTACATTAGGCCCCCTCTCTCATCACGGCCCTTAGAATTGTCCTAATCAAACCTCCCCCCACTCCACCATTACGACTCCCCAGGCTGTGCACCATTCTCTCAATAACAAAGCAATCACACAAAGAAAATGACAATGTTAAGAAAACCGCAATTTAAGAAAGAATCTGATCATAGCAATATGGATACGCTTGCACCAGCTCTGCAATTCAGCCCTCCAGTCACATCACGTTTATTTATATAGAACTTTAAACAATAGACTGCTGTAAAGAAAGCAGCTTTATAGTATTAAACATGATACACAGTGTCAGTTTCACTTTCAGTTAGAATTACAACTTCTATTTCTACTGTAAATCAGCTTCCAATGTTTATGATTAGGTGTTTTCCAGCTGGAGCACTTGGGCGAGCTCTTTAAATAACGTCACATGAGTTTGTTCTTGGATTTCGCCTGAAGTATATTGGGGACTCAAAAACATCGCAAGCATTATGAATCTCTGTAATCAGTAGTAGACCCTGGTCCGGTTTTTTAAAACTTATTTCTTCTTGTTTCAGCAGTGTGGATCAAACTGATCAAACTGCAGACCAGCAACAATCAGTGAATGATCAACTACAGAGAATTAAAGAGCAGCACAAAGCCAGCATGAAGAACAAGTATGAGAGATTATTTGAGGGAACCAAACTCCAAGAGAATGAAAGCCTCCTGAGCAGGATCTACACACAGCTCTACATCATAGAGGGAGAGAGAGAAGGAGTGAATGAAGAACATGAGGTTTTACAGATGGAGAAAACAGCCAGAACAAAACACTCACAAGACACTCCAATCTACTGCAATGACATCTTTAAAGCGTCAGCTGAACCTGGATCTGAGGAGAAAGACCAGATCAAGACTGTTCTTACTAAAGGCATCGCTGGAATCGGAAAAACC